CCCCAAAACCCCAAAACCCCAAAACCCCTTCTGCAAACGTTGAAATTTAATATTCTCTAAAATAAGAATCAGAGGTTTTTAATCATTTGATTATATTTGATTCCAAAATTTTTTTCCAGATAATTGCTGTTGAATGAATTGTAAATAGATTCGATGTCTTTCTTTTTAATAGACTATGATCTAATTTTTAACTTTTTTCGTTTTTTCTTCTCTATTTTTAAGTCTGGCTGCTCATCAGTTTTAATGGTGTTTATCTCTTCAATGTTAGGATAATCGTTAGTATATTAAGGATCAGCCTTATTAGTTGCTACTAACTCTAAAGGATTAATTTCTGATGATTTTTAAAACTCACTCAATTAACTCTTATGTCTAGCATTATTAAATTGCTGCATAAGGTTATTTGAATTAGGAGATTAAACCTAGGAAGCATTCGTTGATAGCATTGATTATGCAAAATTTTCATTAGCCTTTAATGACTCTCTTAGTAGTTTTTTGGCTAAACTCTTGGAAGATTAAGGCCTTATTTTTCTGTTTTCTGAGTATTATTTAATCAATCTCCTTGATTACTGTATACTTTTGGATTCTTTTACCTTTTTCTAAATCAAGTTTTCCTCTTTTTAATTTTCAGTTACAGTCTGGTCGCAGTCATGACTCTCCTCAATTATAAGATCTTGACTAGTTGGAAAATTCTAAGTAAATTTCAGCTGATAAAATTTTTAAGTATCAGTGCTTGTCCTTGAATCCCTAGTTGTTTATATCCCAGAAAACGAGGCATCTTTGGTCTGAAAACTTCTACTGACATCTACTCATTATGCTAACTTGTCCCTGTAGCTTCTTACTGAGTATTGATTATGAAAGTTCTATTATCTTATCAATTCTAAAACAAGTAAAATTAGTGAATTCCTTGCCTGATATGTCTTTAGTAGAATATAGTGGAGCAGTCATTTCAAATTTAACATCCTAGTTTATATAATTGACGGTGTCTCTTTAAAGCTTATTTATTGTTTTTTTAAAGTCTTTGTTTGCAAAGGTATCATCAAACATTATCGTATTGCCAAATTGACTTAATCCATTATTGTAATTCTTTCCTAGTCCAATAAATGGCTCTTTACTCTAATTAGTTTTTAAACTTATGAAAAATTACTTTTCTTTTACTGCTTTGCACTTTTTGAAGTATAGTATTCTCATTTTAAGTTTCATATGCTCCGGGTCCTCTTCTTCTTGAAATGATCATGGCCTATGTTAAAATATTGAAAAAAAATTATTTTATTTCATACATCATAGTAATTAAACCGCTTCTCTTGATTAAAAGAAGAATATCTCTTTTTCTCCTCTGAAGACCTGAGTCTTATTCTTTAATCATAAGCTAGATCTATTGTTTTCCCATCATTTTTCACAATTGGGTATAGAATTTCAGCTGTTCTTTATTTAGGAGATCTAAAATTTAGATCTGTTGGTCTCATTTTATTAGTAAGTTTATTATATTGTTGTTTGTAAATTATGAATTTATGAAATTTTTATTAAATTAAAGAATGAGATAGAATAAATTTCATTAACAACAACAGGCTTAACTTCACTAGCATAATCATCATCTAAACCAACTCCTTAAGCAAAATAAAGCAAAGAAAAATCTTGCATCCAGTCATGAACATGCAGACTCGTCTGACTTGCTCAGAATAGTATCATCGCATAATCCTAGTCTCAATAACTCACCACTTTTAGTTAAAAACCAAAATGGGAAAGACAAGTTTATATCCAATAATGCGGTTGATTTAAGAGAAAGAGCTTATTAAAAGTTGAAATAGCTCAGAAATATCAAGTTTAATTTTCAAAGAAAAATATCATTGTAACCTGCAGTGAACTAAAATCCAGATTAATAAAGTAAAGATAAATTAGAAACTATGCCTTTCAGCAAACAATAAACTTAAAAACAGAGTGAAATGAATTTACTCAGCCAGAAATTAATAGTAAGGCCGTCATCAGTCATAGTTGATGAGAAATCTAAGAGCGATTTCAATATTGCTAAAAATAATCTTTTGGATGATTGCAATATCTACTAAACTTAGAGAAGACAAGCAAACACCTAATCTATGGATTGCAACTGAAGATTAAGACTTCCTGATCATTTCCGTTTTTCGGTGGCAACTGACTAAAACCCAGCTAGTTAAGAGTATTAGATGGAAAGAAACCAAAAATCTATATTCTTAGACTAGTTTATGCAATCTATAAATAACCAAAATGTAGGCGATTGCATTTCAGAAAGAAGGCACAACTAGTCAATTGATCATAACTTGGTTTTGCCGAAACTCTAAAAAAATGATATTGTTAAGAAAGCTGTTGGGAAATTTTTCCAAAAAACCGATACGACATAACTAGTTTATGATTACTCAGCTATTTAATAACAGCTAAGAAAATCAGATCACTCAAAGTTTCTAAATAAGCTAAAGAAAATAAAGTCAAACAATTAAAGTCCATAATATAGGTTAGTCAATGAAGAGCCTAATTAGAGATACTTTAGATTTGATAAAGGGGAAGACCAAAATAAGGAGAATATTTTAGATAATCAAAATGCAGATGAATGTTTGATAATGGGAAGAAGAATAAGACCTAAATTCAAGATAAATATTACGAAAGGATAAGGCAAAAATATTTAGAGTTACAGATAAAATCCCCTTGAGCTGGTTGATAAATTAACTGGAAGATCAACTTGTTCTAGGACTCACTTAATGAAATAAAACTATGAAAATGAGAACTAGTCTTATAAAGGATCTGATATTTAAGAAAGGGAAAACAATAGCCCTTATCGTTCAGGCAAAGTATCAGTAGGTCAACAAACATATGTAAGCGAATTGGTGCTATCAAATAATGTTCAGTTAGTTGCCAAAGAATTTGATAGTATTTCAGAAGGAGAAGAATCATCTTTTGAGAATTATGATGAGGTTGGATGTTTAATGTCTAAAAATCTAATATTTGATGGTGATTCTTCAAACAAAAGTTCTTTAACTTCGCCAAAAAATTTCAATAAAAACTTATACAATTTTTCATAGCAATCCAGTCCTATCAAGAAGTGGCTAATGGAGGAAAGAGTTTAATTTTTTGGAATTAAGGTTGAAATAACTAAAAATCATAAGAAAATTCTTTGATTGCACAATGCTTAAAATACCAATTTTACTAGCTTATTTTATCTTACAAATTTAATTTTAGAATCAAAAATTGAAAAATATTCTAATTTTTGTTTTAAGGGGTTTTGGGGTTTTGGGGCAGATATCTTGCTTTTGAAATAACTCAAAATTCTGATTATATGTAA